TGCTGATCAAGCCTAATGTGTCGGACTTTTTTCCGGGCCTGGCCCGGTTCGATCTCCAGGGTATTGAGAAGCAGATGCGGTCGAAGCTGGTCCCCAGATTCGATAACATCTTCGATAAGATGATCAATCAACGGCTGGGGTTTGCTGAAGGGGAAGCCAAGAGAAATGATTTCTTGCAGTTTTTGCTGGAGGTCAAAGATGAGGAGGATTCCAAAACTCCTCTCACTATGATCCAACTCAAAGCCTTGCTCATGGTAATTACTAATGAATCAGAACTTTCAACTTCTAAATCTCATTTTATTCTTCAATAAATTTTGAAAATTAATGTGTTTATTGTTTTCTTTTAGAATAAAAATTAATGTGTCTTCGTTTCTTAACTTTCTATTTCATTTATAACCGGTCAGAATATTCAGATCTGAAATTATTGAAGTTGTTAGGTTAACAAAATGAATGCAACAAAGTCCAAGAAGGAAATGATTGAGAGGACAATTATCTTGGAGATACGAAATATTTTAGGTAAAATTAAGAACAAAGTTGTTAGACGTGCCCAAAACAGACAATATAATAGCACATCCGTGGATAGTTGGAGGTAGTTTATTTTATTCATAATGAATGAATGGTTTCGTGGGCAGGATATGGTGATTGGTGGGACGGACACATCTTCAAATACCATAGAGTTTGCGATGGCAGAAATGATGAAGAACCCGCAAGTTCTGAACAGAGCAGTGGAAGAAATAGACGCCATTGTTGGGAAAGAGAACATCGTAGAAGAGTCGCACATACATAGTTTGCCATATCTCAAAGCAGTAATGAAAGAAACTTTGCGTTTGCATCCAATTCTGCCGCTGTTAGTGCCGCACTGCCCGAGCGAGACCACTACGATCTCCAACTACACAATCCCGAAGGGCTCTAGAGTGTTCATCAACGTTTGGGCTATTCAGCGAGACCCGAATCAATGGGAAAATCCATTGGCTTTCGACCCACAGAGGTTTTTGAATGGTAAGTGGGATTTCAGTGGGAGTGATTTTCGTTACTTTCCATTCGGATCTGGCAGAAGAAACTGTGCAGGGATAGCCATGGCGGAAAGAACGTTTATGTATTTGCTGGCTACGCTTTTGCATTCATTCGATTGGATACTGAAAGAAGGTGAGGAAGTTGAGACTAAGGAGAAATTTGGGATTGTTTTGAAGAAGAAAACGCCTCTTGTTGCCATTCCGACGCCCAGATTATCTGACCCAACTTTGTATCAATAACCAGCTTTGGCTTCTGCCATTATTGTGTATTCAAAGCTTGCCAAAGATAATTAATGTAAATATGTAATTTGCACCAATTTTTAGTTATGGGCTGATATTGGGCTTGGTCTTTCAATATCCGCCTGCTTGAAATATAATTTTGGGGCAACTAGAGGAATAGCTAAATTAAATAGTTTGATTTGAAAAATGGTTAAAATAATCAGATATCAGAAAAATAACTAAAGAACAGTTAGGGATGAACTACGTGATTTTATGTAGACAAATTTACCATCCCCATCAAAATAGGTAAATTTATCCTACCATTACCCCTATAAATTCGTGACGAAATTACCTTTCAACAAATCTGTAATACACCTAAATTGTAGGAAAGAAGATATTGAATGGAAATTATAGAGTTCAAAAATTTTAAATGAAAATGTAAAATGGATAAAAAAAATAAGTAAAATCAATTTAGAAAAATGGAACATGAACAAAAAAAATAATATTGAAATTCAAAATTGAACAAAAAAATATAGAGTGAATAGTTGAAAATTAGTACCCACCTCACTGCCAATACCACCTCACTGTCAATATCACTACACACTACACTCCATCAAAAACTTTCCTTCCAAAAATTCTATCAGTAACTCAAAAACCCACTCATTCGAAATTAATACCCCCTCATCAAAATCCCTTCCAAAAACCCACCCCTTCAAAATTAATACCCACCCCAAACGGCACTCCAAAAATCAACTCCAAATCCCTAACTCCTTCCTCTTCGCCAAACCCCCAAACAGCGTACAAGAATCTCTAAACCGCGTACAAAGGTCGTGGTTCTAAGGTAAAATCCTAAAGTTCGAAGAGGTTTCTAAGGTCACTGATTTCCGAAGACCTCGACGGCGAAGAGTTCTATCATTGATTTTCGAAGATAGCGTACAAGAATACCTCAACGACGAACAAGTATGACTGATTTCTGAAGACGTTGAAGGTTGGTTCGAT